ACTCTCCCACACTATTAAAACTTCTTAAATAAAACAACGCCTCAATGGCTTGCTCAGACTCCAAAAGACGCCGCCGTTGAAGTTGATGCCCTCCACATTTCTAGCAATGAGCCCCATGCCATGCTCGGGTTCGTTGGCTTCCTCGTTCAACGCCGTTCCTCCGAGCCATTCAACGTCGTTCCTCCGAGCCACTCGAAGTGCTGCTGCCGGCTCACCGCCTGCGACCGCTGTGGAGAAGATTAGGATCGAAATAACAGGAAGTGGGACGCTTTGTTCCACTTCTGGCGCTTCAACATACAGACGACAGTCGTTACTGCAGTGTCCCCTGCTGGGTTCTGATTTTGGGTGAGGCGGTGGGTCAAGAATTAGCACATGAGATTACGCGACGAAGGGGCATAGGTCAACCTGAAGCTAGGCCGTCACAAAACAAAGCACATTCTTTTGCACCAACAGACGACAACATGTCCAATAAAATAATCCAAAGTTCTGCGTGCGCGGAGAAGTTTACTTTGAGGAAAACCGCTCGTTTCTATGCACCTGCGGCACCCCCTGTTCTGGCCTCCCTGGGCGAAATACCACGAAATCCCTCCCCCCACGACAATGCCTCCAGCATCTCGAGCAAGGGTCGCAGCGCAGCTTCCGAGTTCGCGGCCAGATGGAGCAAGGTGGAGCCATCTGCCGCGGCGCGGAGTCGCACGTTCGGATACGTTCACCACTGAACGTGTCATCGGGCACAGGTCCAGGAGGGGTCGTTACACGCGAAACGGTCCAGGAGAGGGCAACATGGGCAAACCGGGGTGGTCGCCTTCTAAGCTAGGCAACATCATCATACCCAATGCAATCCATTCCGCCTGAGGTCCGGAACGACCATTCCGCGTGGTGTCCTAATGACAGTCCCGGCTGCTGAAGGGTCTTGTGATATGAAAGCTCTTGTATTTTGCACCTGGTGAGGGGGACATGTTTGGGTTTGGCGACTGTATTCTGGTACCATATTACCGTACCTTGTTGACACTATCAGGAGAATACATGGGTTCCAAGCTGCTCTGCTGGTGAAAAGCACATTCATCCCAAACAAAATTGGTACAGCAGGAACAGCCACAAAGAAGCATGATGGCACATCATCCCAAGACAAATCCGTTGAAGCACGTATGCTCAGATTGTTTTACCCCGTTCTATGATTCGTCTCTTGTGTTATTTGTATCTATTTGTCACTTTGCTCCAAACCTCACCGGCTCCGCTCAAAACTCCGTCTGACGACCAGCTGCGCGACCAGCTGCGCGACCAGCTGCGACCAGCACCGCCTGACTCCCGGCAGCGCAGGGCCGCCGACAAGTCGACATGGTGCTCCTGCAATGCCGCCTCTAAAGTCCCTGAGAAGGCCGCCTGAGGTGGAGCGATAGCGGCTGATGATACCTTTTCGTGTGCGCATTCTGGCTTTGAGATATTGTGAGGGCTGCTTGGTTGGAGATGTGGGGGATCAAAAATCGATTCAATTTCAAAATTGCTGGAAAAGACTGCGCTGCTGGTTCTTCACAGCAGCTAGCGCAGGTTCGGAAAGTCTCAGCTTTTAAATTGCGTTGCCACAAGAAGTCCCAACAAGTGACGCAACAATTTCGCACCCGCCTTCAGGAGAACTTTTTGCACATCTGAGGAGATCTCTCGCTTCACCAACAGCTTGCCGCCTATGCCTCTGGGAAGGAAGAAGTGAGGGCAAGAAGTTTTTCCTGGCACATCTGCAAAGCGAATTCTACTATTAGTCCTGACTAGTAGCAAGTAGTAACAAGTGCATCGCTACTAGGAACAAGTGCCTTACTAGTAGCAACAAGAAGCTATTAGGAACAAGAAGCTACTAGTTCAAACCTACCGGGTCCAGTCTTTCAGATCCTTCAGGTGGGGGGGGCGGTCGGTATGGACCGTCGTTGTTGCACTCAACTGTCTTGATGGGACAGCAGGCGCTGTCCACTCATTCCAATGCACCCAAACATTCAGCGACGAGCATACACCCAGGGTGCACACGAGCCTGGAACCTGCTGCTTCTAGGAGCAAGCTACATGCTGCTGATGATGTTTGTGACATTGCCTTCATAGAGAAATGCCTAAAACATCCTAAAACATACACGCGAGCGCGTGTTACATCAAGAGCGCGCGGGAAGATCGTCACTTGAAGGGTCCCCATGGGTGACAGACCTGGGTCGATAGTAGCAGCTCAGAACTAACAAGAATCTCCTCCAGCCACTCTGCAGGCCCTGCCTGCTGTGGTCAATTCGTGTTGCAGCTCCCGCTGTGCCTGCACACTGGACTGGCTGTTCACACTCAGGGCCGTGACCATCCCGAAAGGGAGAGGGCCGTTCTGAGTCGACGGGGAAGTGGCCCCGAAACTCAACTGTTCCTTTGTGTTTGCTCCATCGGGCAAACACCCCAAATACCCAGGGCTTGCCAAAGATTTCGATGCAGTCCCAGGTGGGCATGTCGTCTCGTTTCAGAATGCGCCTACATAAACATGTCAAACTGTCAATGTGTGTGTGTGTGTGCGCCTCCCCCTCTCTCAAAACAGCCCCCTGCATTTGTACAACTCGCCATTTCAAAGAGACTCACTCAAACCCGTTGGGCTCCACCTGCTCCGCCTGCAGCTCTGCGCGTAGGCATTCCACCTGAGCCTGCGATCGAATGCCCGCGCAAGAAGCGCCAGGCCTTCTCAAAGGCGACTAACACTGTTCAAGGAAGAAGCCCAGTCGGCGGGAGGAACACCCAGAGAGAGAGAGGGAGACCCAAATGCCAGGATCTGAAGGCCAACTGGGCCTGGAAGAAACGATGCTAAAAGCCTAAAAGCAACTAAAATGAAAAACTATCTCACGGCAGACCCAACTGCTTTCTTCAGATCCAGTGCCTTGTCATGTGTAGCTGAAGCCTTATGTTTAAAGATGTTTAAAGAAGGTAAGGCCCCCTTTCATATATATAAGTGAATCAACCAGATCGAGCTTTGCGACTTTCCACTGGTTGCCTTTCCCTGAAGATCTTCCGTCTTCTCTCAACGCCGGAGTTGCGCGTTCACCGTCATTCTTTTGTGCGCAGCATAGGTCTACATGACTTACTGTTCACACTAATTGGCTTGTTTAGGCTAAACTCAACCCCCAGGCCCTCCCAGAAGCCCCCACACCTTCCAGGCATCACTGTTGAGCTCCTCCTGGGCGGCGGCTCGGGCCTTCTCCTCGCCTGAGCACGCTCACGCAACAACCCCGAACTCGGTTATATTGGCTGAGTGAAGGGCATCATCGGGTAACATCCGGTATCATAGATGTTGCACCACCTGTACTGTCCTACACGGTCCTACCCATGTCCTACACTAATTGACTATATATAAGATACCGTGTCGTTACACCTTATAACTGCAATCCTCTCGCAATGAACACATCCGATCCAAGGGGTGCTGGCATACAAAAAACAAACAGCCTTGACCTGACTTGGCGCCAGGTACCTGATAGGATTTAGAATTCCCACAGGTCCAACTGTTGAGTCCAACTGCCTCAGTTCCGACAGGTCCAATTGCTGAGAATGGATGTGCCACCCACGAGCTTCCAAATGCTTCCTGCTTGTCACACCCACGAGCCAAGCAGGCGGATCTGGGCGAATGCCCAGGCACGGAGCTGCTCCAACTCTTTCCGAAGCAAACTCACCTTGCAGGGTCTGACTGTCTGGCCGAGCCTTTCACAATGGATTTGGCCTTTCAGATGGTCCATTCTGCATAGAAACAGTCTTGCGGGGAAGGAAAAGACATCCTACATCAAGTCTCACTGCAAATTCTTCTCCAATACCGCCTGTTTGAGACCTCCAGTTGCATACTGACAATAAGAATGAAAACCTGTTGTAGTGCTGTATAAAGGCATTTATGTTTATATTGTGGGTGTGGGCATTCCTTCCACACAACTTCACTTGGAACCAATTGGACATGCCAAGCCAAACCGGGAGTACATGTACTTCCGTCTAAACCATCGGGATCAGGCTGCAGAAATGAAATTTCCAGAAAACACATGGCCTACAGCAATTGCATTTTCAACCTCCATCTCAACCATTTCTATGGTATGTCCTGGAAATGAAATGACACCGAACAGAAACCTAAACTTTAGAGGTGCTCACCAGTAGAGGATGGTTCTCTCTTGACATGGAGGGGCCTGCCTGGCCTCTCCATTCTAAACAACCCATGTAGGACTTGAGCACTTAGTGCAGTCTCAGAGCGTTGAATCTGCGCGCCTCGTTTCCAGGGGCATCCTCTGCGCGAGGGCACTACAAGTCAACTACAAGCATAGTGAGGGAACTCTTTCCAACAACTTTCCGGCATTTGACTGACACTAGAGCAGCGTACTCTTGTTTCTAGCAGCACCTATGGAGTTCATTGTGGTTATATGTGGTTATGATATGGTAGGGCCATGATCGATGGGACAATATTGTGGCGGGTGGTGGGCCAAATTGGCATGAACCACTGTGTTCCCTTCTGAGAAGGAAACCTCCGCGCACCACAACCTCTAGCTTCCACATCATCGAAGCTTCCCATAGTTCCACCCCATACATGCTCACCAGCACTATCATCCAACCAAACCAAATAACTAATTACCTTTATGCCCCAACCAACCGGTCGGTAATCTCATGAAGGCGCTGGCCGATGCTGGGCCAGCTAGCTGATACACCGGTCCGCAGAAGTCAAAGCAATTCCAGAAACCATGCCAGATCCCCATGAGACGCCGCGCATTCAGGAAGTCAAACAAGTCAATGCAAAAACATGTTAAACACCATCAGGACGCAACAATAAAACTATGTGTGTTTCTATCGCTTTATCTTACTTGAACGCCTCAGAAAACTGTATTTCAGCATGTGGACGCAGATCCAACAATGATCAAGAAACGATGGAAAATGTATGTTTTGGGATTGGGTTCACCATGGGACGCCGTATGAGAGCTAGAACATGAAACTTAAGCATTGTGGTTGAGAAATGCCTTGTCTCCCCTGTGAACTGTGAACATGTGAACATGGATAGACTCCCAGGGCACGGACACACTTCTTGCCTTTTAGCTTTCCTACGCTGCTTTCGGTGGCTTGGCCATGTATTGCAAAGACCTATGCTTTCCATAGGTCTGCAACCACTGGATCCTTTCTGTCCTGTTTTTTAGGATCCCTGCGTCTAAATCCTTCTTGATCCAATGTGCAAGCGGCGCCTTTGGCACCTTTTGCTTCAAAAATTGTAAATAATGCTCGCAGATTTTGGTGAACATGTTCAATGTGTAGCCGGCTTTTTCGACATCTGCCGCTGGAAAGCTGGATTCCAGCATGTCCAAAACATCTGCAGGGTCATTCAAATTCCATTCAGGATCCTCTTCCTCCACATCATCTCCTTTCTCCACTGCTTCTCCCAAAGCAGCTTGCTTCTCTTGCGCCGGCATGGCCGTGTCTTTCTCTTCTCCAGCTTGCTTTGCTGGATTTTCCATGGCTTCTTGTTTGCGAACTCTGCTTTTCAACTCTTTCATCAAATCGGTAACTTGTCCCAAAATTTTTTCATCCTTCGCCTCTACTTTCTTGAGTTTGGCTTCAGGATTCTGCTTCCAGCCAGACCGGAAGCCTCTCTTGTGGATAGCGAAGCTGTCTGGATCAAAACTTGCATTCGGCTCAGCGCAATTCCAGCACACGCGCATGGAGGTGTCTAAGAACTGTCCGCAACCTTGCTTGCTGCATTTGGTTTTGCTTGGGCTGACTCTCTGGAAAGCTGTGAGGGCAGAAGACTCTGCAGCATCTCCAAGCCGCGGCGCATCTCGCCTTGCGCTGAAAACTTCCTCTGCTCTGTTCACCAATAGCATGTCTCTGTTCCATTGCATTCCGGACTCACATCCAATCCTTTTCCATGACGCTTTCGCCATCTCAGGCGACAGCGCGCGTTTGGTGAACTCATGTATGGCTCTCAAAGCCACCATCAAGGACAGTGGTTCGTTCTTTTTGCACCAATCTTGCTTGAACTGTTTCCAGCTGGCTGCCATGCTTTGATGAGCGTTCTGATCCAACGGCATCAGCGCACGAGTACAGTACCCGGGCAAAAAGAATAATCGAATATTCCACCTGCGCTTGCCGCCCATGTTTTCACGGTACAGCCATGCACAGTGATGCTTCTTAGCACCGCACAAGTGGCAAAACAAAACTTCATCTGGCACCCCTTCACTTTCACACTTGAGCACTGTGGACCCGGCAATCTGCAATTGGCGTAGCTTGTCGAACGCACTCTCGTACCCAAGCGCAGCTTCTCTGCAAACTTTCCAGGCATTGAGTTCTTGGGTTTAGCAACCTAGTTTCTGAGCATACTGAAAAACTAAAACGCTAGTCCCTAAAGGACCCAATGCAACACCCAACTGTATGTAGGTATAAACACATGGTATATGTAACATAAACACGTGTCCCGTATATCATATATCACACTGCACACACACTATATATATATATCTCTTAACTTACCCTTTGAGAAGAAGTCCCTTTGACATAAAATTGCACATTGGGGATCTGCTCTCTTGCTCCTTTTTAGAAAATGCACAGGCACCGTGCCCTAACAAAAAGAAGGACACAAGGAACAAAAAGCAATGAGGAAACAAACGCAAACACTGCAACATGCACACAGCAAAAGCAGCAGCTAAAGCAATGCAGAAGGAGCGAAGTGACAGCTAGCAAAAGCAGCTTCCAAGAGGCTAAACCAAGCAAGGGCACTGGAGGTTCTGCTTGATGTTGTCGCCGACATCGAAAGACCTGCCAGGCACAGCCATGCGAAACACAAAGCGCAAGGGAAACGAACAAAACAGCAGAAAGGACAGAAGCAGGAAAAGCAAAGCAACCAGCAAACAAACATAGAGCAAACAAGAACAACACAAACTAGATGCAACAACAAAGGAACAACACAAACACACAGGCTACGCAGACAGAGAAAGCACAAACCGAAAAAAAATCTGAAAGACTCTAACTTATATAAACATCGCCAATGGCAAGCATCCAGGCAGCCACTGGAAAAAAGGTCGACAAAATACTTATTTGTGACTCTGCCAGGAGCATGTGATCAAAGTGTGCTTCATAGAAGCTTGTTCTAAGGCTTGGAAAGTCTGCGAGGATGTGAGGAGTTGTGTGGCAACAAGTCTGGTGACTTCCCATAGTAAGGAGACCCTGTGTGCGACAAAAAGGGCAATAGCTTCAAAACAAAAAACATATTATTTTGTCTGCTTGGGTGTGTCTCACGCAAAGTTACCTCTATGGGCAATATTGATGCCCACTGAAGTTGCCAGAAGCGGCAATGTCAACCACAAAAATGCAAACCATGCCTTCTTCTCAGGCGACTCACAAACTTCAGATGCCTTCCTCTTCTGCGGTGTCTCCATTGTAATCAAAAGAGAGGCTCAATGGCTCTCAAGAAAATAGCTCCAAATGGCGACGGACAACTCACAATGGGGGTGGGTCCGGTTCATCCAGGAACACCAAAACCAAGTGATGCCACTCAAGTCACATGGTTGCTGCTACCGTGCTACTGCTCCCAGTAGCGTTCCTTGTAACTAGGCCCTTTGTTCCCAGTAGCTTCTTGTGGCTAGTAGTAATGCCCTTTGTTCCTAGTAGCGGTGCCCTTTGTTCCTAGTAGCTTCTTGTTGCTAGTAGTAATGCCTTTGTGAATAGTAGATTCTCGTTACTAGTAGAAATGCCCTTTGTTACTAGTAGCGATGCCCTTCGTACAATGTAACTGGTGGTTTTATTGGATTTCTAGTGTGCAATATTTGCATGGAAATGTAATCTTCTGAGAAAAAGTCTACCTGTTAAACACAAGCAGGACGCAACATTGCATCGACTTCCAAAAATCTTTCCCCAAGCTAGGACGCACAATTTATCAAAACGCATCGACTTTCACATCTTGGAGTACCATGCCAAGGACGGATTCCACTGTAACACTAATTGCGAAGTCTCGCGCTTGTCTGGTCTCCTGAAGCTGTTTTCGCAAGGATGCCGCCATGATTTGTTCCTGGCCCAGGTGCACGCTGTTGCAGGTGCATGAGCATGGGAGGATTCCGAACTAGCAAATCTGAACCCGCTTTCATGCGGCAGGAGCGAGAAAGCCAGTACCCCAGAACAGACCTTTCCTTGGAAAGGTGTTAAACTACCAGCTGCGCCTCTGCAGGAAAACCTTGGTTTTGAGATGTGATTTTATGACTGGCGTGCTCGCATCCTGATTCCTCTGCCAAAGTTATTCCACTCCCCACAACATGCAAAAGTTATCAGTGAGGTGCTAGCATGTGACCTCAGGCTGAACCTCAGCTGCAGTGAAACATGTCGCGAATGTTTTGAGCTTGACAATTGGTTCCCATAAACCCCCGGACTTGCATCATGTGACGGCGAACTTAAACCAAGTGCAAGTGAATGCAAAGAGGCGGGCAATGGAGCATCAGCCTGGACTCACAGCAGACTGATCTTCGATTAGTGTATATAATTGTATCAAGATTAGGCAAGTACATCTGATCTGATTGATCTTCCCTCCAATCCTCCGTCGGGTCCCTGGCGCTCAGCGCGTCACTCCTCGGCCAGCTCCTGACGTTTCTCCGTGAGCTGCGCCAGCATCTCTTGCGACATGGCCTGGAGCAGTGCCCTTTGGTCAACAGACCCGTGGACGAAAGGTGGATGGAAAACCATGGACAACCACTGTTGGTTTGAGAGTGGCCACAGGAGAACCGTTCTGAAAGGTGCTGGTGGGTGTGTGCGTGTGGCATTTAAAGCTATATAAAGACGTGCGGGCGGGCGGGCTGGGGTTTGTGGGCCTGCGTTTATACCAAGTTATGTATCACGCATAGAATTACAATTCTCGGAGAAAAAACAGGACGACATGAATTGCGGGTGCTGTACCTCTTGCGCAGTCTGTACACCGTACACCCGCAGCACCCTAAAAGGCCATTCCTACACCAATCTGCACCCCAAGCACTCCAGCAACTCATAACTCCACGGGGCGGCCTCGGAGCGCGCCACGGCCAAATCGGATTGCAAGGTCTCCTGTTTGGCGGTGCTCAGCTCGCGCGTCAGTTGAAGGATCTCATCCGCCTGGAAAGCTGTGAGTAGCGAGTCGGTTTTGGTTCCGGCCGTGTCGGATGGATCTCGGGCGCTGTCAACGCCATGCACATCCCGCCTGAAACTGACAAGGTACGTTCGAAGGACTCATATTCAGAACGTTCTGGAAGATTCTTCTCAAGAGCAACTTGACGCAAGCTGGGCATGCTAGGCACCTCAAGAATTCTTTTGCTTGCTCAGTGGTCAGTGCACCTCCGCATTTGGCCCTCAGGATCCCTCCGCCTGGCGGGCATCTTTGGCCTCCAGGCTCTTGAGCCGCGTCTGGGCGTTCTGTAGCGCCTTCCGGAGCTCCTGAAGGAGGTGCTACCGGACTCACCAGTGGATGATGGGATGATCAAGGATGATGGGCGATGGACTTATTTTCCCTCAGGATGTCCATATTGAAAACCTAGCAAGAACTGAAGGCATCGCAGGTCTTCCCATACCAATGTGACCCGGCGCAGATAGATTAGAACCCACCAGAACAAAGATCAGATCTGGGAGGGCATGTCACACAAATCATCCAGGTGGGACAATGTCTGATCCCTGAGCTGCAGGATGTCATAGGAAGTCCACCCACGAGCAACTGCTGGCCCGAAGCACGTCGAACGAAGACCAGTTCCCTCTTCATCACCATCATCACCCCCAAGAAACTTGTCCAGTGGTTTGTCTGGGGGTTGGACTAGACATTGCGCATAGACTTCAAAATAGATGGAGTATGGAAAATGTCAAAGAAGCAAAGTTCTGTAAACAAAACCCCTAGATTTGATTAGGTTTGCAACATTTCTGTGTTTCACTGAGAAGCTTCACACTTGGTCGCACCTGCATTTCCACATCCAAGGCCTGAAGTGCAAACGTGGCCAGCGGAGATTGAGAAGGCTCAAAATGTATGTTTCCGGGATGGCCGGCATTGAATTGAGCCCAGGCTCCGTGGTGACTAAAGAACGCAAACCTAGAAGCTCATAGACGAGTGGAAGACTCTCCGATCTTGACTTCCATGTAGGCCTCTTTGAGGCATTGCATACACCAAGCAACACAAGGAACCGAAACCCCATACACCAAGCCACAAGAGTTCATTCATGCTAAAACGCCAAAAGCTCCGTCCACCAGGGAGATCCAGGGAGCCTTTTCAAACCCTGGCCACGTCCTCATCGACAGAACTCCCCGACTTCAGCATACAACCAGTGGAGCTCTCCACCTGCTCATGTCCATCCCTAAACCGCCCCTAATCCTTCCCGGTCCTTTTTTGCCGCATGGGAGAAACGAAGTAAGGACCCTCAGGTGTCAAGATCTGGGGTCTTCAGCCTATCTGTGACCCCCAATTGTTTTGCCTCTTCGCCTTTGAACAAACAAGACATTGACCCTGCGAGAATGATTTCAGGCCTTAGTCTACTAGTCGCTCACCCATCCGTTCCCCACCTGCACGGCCGGGTGCTCAGTAAGCCCTGAGGTCAGCGGTGGTGAAGAGTGGGATCAGCAGTCCCAAGTGCAATTTGGTCCAGCCATGTGGCAAGAAGCTTGCCTGCATAACCATCTCAAATACATGTAGCGTTGTCCAAAACTGGCGATCTCCTCATCAGCAATCAGTACCCCCAATGAGCTCAAGGATTGTGTTTTTCAAGATAACCGTGATGGATTTAGGGTTCCAAGATTCTCAACATCTTTTGGGGATATGAATGGTTAGAAGGCACGGTTTAATTCTAGACTCGTGCCCCTGGAAGTTTCACCCCGGGCCCCATGCCACTTGTCAAGGAACGAAAATCAACTAGAGTAACTAGAGACCTTCAAAAGATCCTATGCATCCGGTGAGAACCCTATCATCAAAAAACATCTGCAGAAAGGCAGGCAGTAAAACAATTCCAGAACGAGCTGTGTGGCCTCCTGCATCAAGTACCCGGCTAGGTGGCTCCACACAACAAAGTACACTCCCTGAATCATGCGCAGCCACAGGCCAGGACGTGAAATGATTTCTCGCGGGAGATGTCTATTTATATATATGTGTGTGTGTGCTTGTGCGCATTCGTGTGCCTGGCCCTCGGAACACGTGTCTTTATGAACAGGTGTGCAAAATGTTGCTCGCAAACTGTAACCAGTGGCACCTGGGTTGCAATCCCTCAAAGCCCTTGGTTCAATTTTTGCTTTGAGACACCTTGCGTGCGTCATCACGTCACAGGACCTGAACCAATCTCCAAGTGGCGCATCTCTTCAGCGATCTGCTTTGCAAGGACCTTTGAGGTCTTCTCGGGTGGCACGCCTGCGAACCACAGCACAATGCTTCAAAGAGGCCTTGACCGAAAACAGTGGTAGAACATTCTTGATCAACCGCTACTGGCACGTATACTGAAATGAACCCCAGGCCCCAGGCATTCCGCTCAACATTGAGGATGTTGAGGGTTCAGCTGACTATTGGCAACCATATCAAACACAGAGCATGTCACCAGCACTGATTGTTGCTCTTCAAACCACTTGCGCGCGCCTGCATCAGCATTCTTGTGACCTACAACTCGCAAGTGTTTCAAGGCGACCTGCAGCCACAAAATGCGCAGTTTCATGCGCTGCCGCGGTGGCTAACACCAAAGGAACGAAGAAAAATGCCAATCCAGGCCAGTGAGGTCAACAAGGCGAGAAAAAAATATAACACAACGATGCAAAACAGTTTGCTTCAGTGTGGGTCTGGTTTGAATCGTTTGCGGCCAAAAACCAACAGTTGATCTTCCTGCCTGGACCTTTTCTTGGCGGCCATCAAAGACCACGGTGCCTGGCACTTGCCCAAGAGACTGCCCAGTGGTTCCGTACTTAACGACTTAACGGTGGACTTTGCAAGCTTGTTGCTAGGCAGCAAAGGGGCATAACGGATCCAATCTTATATAACTCACGGCCCTGCCCGGCGCGTTGGTCCATCACATCCAACCCGTGAGCAGCATGCAGCCCGCAAACCCTTGGGATGACCTGGCTGAAATCCCAAAATGCCTCACTTCGCAAAGGAAGGAGGTTTGTAAGCAGTCTTGTGTCACCCCCTACGTGGAAGACATGTTCATGTCAAGTGGGAACCCCCTTCTGCCAAGGTTCAGTTTCTGCATTCATCATTGATGTCCAGCACAACACCTTCATCTCCTGGTGCAGGAAGCGCGACTGCTCATGTTCCAACGGTATGCCCTCCGTCAATTCAACTGGTGGCAAAAAACAGTCGCAGCGGCCGATGCGCGACCCCAAGATATCTATCGATATGACATTCATTCTATATATCAGTCTGCAAGATTCAACAAAAATGGATGCACACAAACATCGCAAACACCAACCCCTCATCGCAGCCAAGGTGCGTTCTTTGAAATCGCTGAATTGACGACCGCGCAGCACCCGCACACGACAGCCAACTTGAAACCCGCTCATGGGCCATTGCGTGCGACCGTGGGTCCGAAGGATCGCGGTATGCAATTGCGCAATCTATATTTGTAGCACATGGTCACATGGTGATGGTTGATTTGTTGGTGACGATTTAATA